CCTCTGACCCTCCTCCCTCTCACGCTCTCTGTTTCTCATTGTCTCTCTCTCAAATAAATAAATAAAATCTTTAAAAAAAAAAAAAAAAAGAAAATGTGGAGTATTGTAGAAGAGATTCATGCCTGGGGAGAGAATTTAAGTCACTGATTTCTAAGCTTCTTTCCAGCTGTGGACTATATGCTATAACTCCCTCCTAAGGCACCGAATTCTGTTTTAAAGAATATTTTGGGAGACACCAGGCCTTGGTTCAAACATTGGAGACTTCATCTGTGAAGCCAGAAGAGGGAATGCATTTGTAAACTTTCATATCATGGTCTTCAAGTCCACCATTGATAAGGTGGTGCGGAAGAGCCTATCCTGCCAGGAGGTGAGAACCACAGGGCAGGACTGAACATGGGACTCCAGCTAAGCCAGAGGGTCCGGAGGGGACTTAAGTCCAGAGAGACCCAGAACTGCGGCTAAGGAGATTGACCTCTGACAATGTACACGTATATCAAATCACCATGCTATACACTTTAAAGATCTTAAAATTTTGTTAATTATACCTCAGTAAAGCTGGGGGAAAAAAAAGAGATCATGGTTTTAGGTGAGTCTTGACCCTGGTTGAGGAAGAAAAGAAAAGGAAACAAATATTTTACGGAACTCTGGTTACATGCTGGACAGAGTACAGTGTACCAGTCAGAGAGGTGGACTCTGCAAAACCCAACTCGGTGCTGGACCCAAGACACGCCTAACACAAAGGGATTTTCAAAGGCAGAAACCAAAGAGATGGGCAAAGCGTACAAGGCAAATGCAGACAAACAGTGCTGACAAAAGGTACCAGTTTTGAGCTTGATATACGATAAGGTAAAATGCAGACTGAAAGCACAAAACAGGACAAAGGACTGGTTGCTGCTAAAGGCCAGAATGCACAAGGAACATTCACCACTTGTGAATGTGCACCCAGTAACACAGCAGCGGCCTTTATAGTGGAAACTCTAGAAGATGCAAGACAAAATAGAAATGTACTAATAGTAGGCATTTTAACATACTCTCCATCCAAGTGGACAAAAGGTCAGTAAAGATATAAAAGACCCAAACAACATAATTCATAAGGGAGATCGGGATACATCACAAACTTTGTACACTGATAATAAAGAATATATTTTCCTTTCAAATCCAGGCAGAACATTGACAAAATTAACTATAGATTAGCTCACCAAAAATGCAATAAATTTCCCGAGGTTGGAATACCATAAACAGCATTCTCTGATGATAGTGGAATCAAAGTAGAAAATTATTTGCCAAACTGAAGCACAATAAGCCTTTCTTCTTGGATTTTTAAAAGCTCTTTGTGAAATATCTCTTAGGTCAAAGGGGCGATAGAAACTGAAATTGTAGCATTTCTTAAAATATGAAAATAATGCATATGTTAAACATGAAAGAGAAAGAAGGAGAAAGGGAGAGTCGACTCTGCAGTCAGCTAGATGATGGAATCTGGGTTCTGCCACTTATGCGTGAATTTAAGCAAGTATCTCATTCGATCTAAATAACGACCCTCGGTCATAGGTACTCTAAGCTTTATTGTATAGACAATGAAATTTAGTTCAGAAGGGAGAGTGGAAACAAACAGTAGATCTGGGGTTCCAGTAGGAAGCCCAGTTTCTTAATCATGATACCCAAGTTCCTGTGACTGTAGCACCTGGCGGAACAGCCCACCTAAACCGTAGGGACAATGGCCAGGACTTCGTGGGCTCCTGGATGCTAAAACTTGAGCAGCGATGACAAATGCCCCCGCATCTTGGGCTCATCCCCTCGGTTGGTGACACATAGCTACTTAAGAGTTTGCATTAAAAACTCTAATATTCAGTTTCTCAAATAGAAACCTCCATAGAATAGCAGGCAGGATTGCGGCTCTTTCTGTGGAAAAGGTCACCCAGCAGGCACTGAATCCTCAAGAATATGTCACTTCATAAATATCTAAATACCTCGTTGTTCATATTCAGCTCTTTGCTGCCCTGGTCCAGGGCTATATCCCCTGTTCTCCAGACTCTTTGGACATATTCCCTACCAGGTGCTTCGTTTCTGACTTGCCCCTTCCCCATCCTCTACCACCTACCCTACACCCAGCTAGCCAAGGCAGTGTTTCACACTCAAGATTTATCCATTTGCTCAAGATGGCGCCCTGACCCTTCACTAATCTCAAAACTCCCCAGTAGTACATAAAACCTTATGAGGTTCTGGGTCTTCCCTAAGTGTCCAGTTCCTCCCATCTCATCATTTATGCCCCAGCCACCCTTAAATAATTCACTCCCCTGACAATTTCCTTAGTCGCCGATTAAAAATCAGCATAAGTGAAGCACTGGTCCCACTATACTAGTGTGTAGATCCGGCCATCATGGCACCCTTTACAATGACTTGAGATTTTTTTCTTGTGTGCCTACCTAGATCTTAAAGTCATTAAGACCCTTGAGGTCTGGAACACCCATGTTATCATTTTAAAATCCCAGCTTTCAAGAACATTGCTTGATACAAAGCAGGCATTCAAAAATATAGGATATGTTAATGATTACATGGCATATTCGTCTGTCCATTTTTAGTATTCTTACCTTCTCAAACTTTAAAAGAAAAAAAAAACTTCCACTA